AGGAAGCACTCAGATTTGGTGTTTGTTGCCTTTACCTAGAGCTCTGGGAGCTCGCATCCTGCCTGCAGTCTCAAGGAAGCTCAAAGCCGGTCCTCAGCCCGCAGGCCCCCTGCCCTGGGGCAAAGCATTCAGTTGCAGCAGTTGTTCTTGGGGCCCCACGTGGAAGCTTTGGTGGTGCGGGCATTCTTGACCCACTGACCCCGTCTCTTGTGGCCATCAGTGCATTTTCTCAGTTCCATTCCGAGGCTTGCTTCAACTTGCCCTTCAGAGCCCTCCCCACCTGGCCCTGTCTAGCCTCATCTTCCACCTGCCCTGACCACAGGCAGACACATGGTGCCACGATGCTTCTCCTGCCACCCGACAGGCACATTGCCTCTTACTTCTCCCAAGACATGCTGGCTCCTCAGTGCCCAACTCATACCTCCTTTGGGAACCCTTCCCTGATGCTTCCCAGTGACTTGCCAGAGTCCGTGTCTACATCCCCATCTTTATTCATTTCTTTAAAGTTTTCTCAAGTCCTCTCAAACAATATTCTTATAATCTTACCAAAATGTAAATGACTGGTAAAGCTTACCCTTTTCAGAGGTGAGATACGGATTTAAGTAGAGAACCAGAGTATATTTGGCTTAAACCAAGAAAATGAGGCTCTAATTGCACTATTTAGACAGTGAGAAACGAATTGGTCAATTCTGGAAAAAAAAATTTTTATAAAATCACACTGAGGCTAGCCCTACATACACCAGAAGTTTAGGCTAACCAAAGCAATGTGCTTCATAGGTAATTAGCTGTTTAATTTTTAAGCAGCTGTCTCATTAAGCATTCTCATTACTTTTAGTCCTCTGTCCCTAGATGAATATAGCTTTTGTAGTAATTAATTTTGCTGTCTTGTCATTTACTTTCCTCTGCAGCTGAAGAAATGTTTCTCATTTTGGTTTCCTTATATCATTTACTATTGAATAATTTTATTTTAAAAGTAGAAAATGTTACCTCCAACATGTTAGGTTGCTGTGAAATTTATGTTAGGGATATTCTTGAAGAGGAAAAGAATACTTTGTGTCAAGTTAACAGTATTGGGTTCTACAAAGTATTTATGTGTTTAGGTCAGTTGCTTTTGAAACAGCCGTTTACAGTTCACTACAGAATTTCTAGGTTCACCACCCATTTACTCCTATCTCATGCCACGCCAGTTTAGCATGCTTGTGCAAAATTTAATCAGCCTTAAAGATAGACGTTTTGGTAGTGACCACAGTTGTGGACATGTACTTGGCTGTAGTCTCCATGCTCATCTTAGGGGTATGTGTCAACCGCTAAGCCACATGCACGGCCTTACAGCTCTCTTGCTGTACTCCTTCCTCAGTGTCGAGAAGCACTAACAACCCGCCAAAAGCTGATTGCCCAGGATTATAAAGTCAGTTATTCATTGGCCAAATCCTGTAAGAGCGACCTGAAGAAATACCGGTGCAATGTGGAAAATCTTCCCCGGTCCCGGGAAGCCAGACTCTCCTACCTTTTAATGTGCCTGGAGTCAGCTGTGCACAGAGGTAGAATTCATTTCTTTTTATCCTTTTTATTCCTTTTTGGATTCACACTCTAAAGTTTCTTATGCCTATAAATGTTAGTTTCATCCTATATTTGCTCTTTTGGGGTTTTGGGGTTTTTTTTAGATAGCGTTTTGTTCTGTCACCCAGCCTTGAGTGCAGTGGTACAATCATAGGTCACTGCAGCCTTGAACTCCTGGGCTCAAGCCATCCTCCTGTCTCAGCCTCTTGAGTAGCTGGAACTACAGGTGTGCACCAACATGTCTGACTAATTTTTCTGTTTTTTTGTAAAGACGGGGTCTCACTCTTGCTCAGGCCAGTCTTGAACTCCTGGCATCAAGCGATCCTCCCCCCTCAGCCTCCCAAGTAGCTGGGACTATAGGAATGTGCCCCTATTCCTGGCTTTTTTTTTTTTTTGTGGTAGAGATAGGGGTCTCACTATGTAACCCACTCTAGTCTTGAACTCCTGATCTTAAGCAATCTCCTGTCTCAGCCTCCCAAAGTGCTGGGATTACAGGCATGAGCCAAAGCGCCTGGCCTTTCTAATTTTTAAAATGCATATTGTGCAACATTTTTGGGAGAGTTGGGTTAGTGTAATTTAGCACATGGGTCAGAGAGACTTGACTTCAAATTATGACTCTATTATTAAACTAACTGTCTAGGTAACCATTTTTTATGTTGTTTTACTTTGTTTTAATCTCTCTTTTATGTTTTCCCAGTTGGCATTTATAGCTTAAAGAAGTGGGGGGACCTGTAGTGAATATTTGAAATGTAGTCTTTTCCACTGCTTTAATTATGTAGACCGGTAGGGATTGTTCTTTGGCTTTCATTTTTACCCCAATAGTTATCTTACTGATAAGACTTCCATGGACAAAGCATTTGCATTTTTAGTTCAGTAGTGTAAAATCTGTATAATGCAGAACACTGATAGGATAAACCCAAGTCTTTGGAGTCTAAGCTCATTTTATGCTGCTAACGCTTTTGCTAAATTCTAAGCTTTTCAGTCTAGATATTAGCATGACTGGTAACATTCTATTCTAGATAGAAGCATGTACTTTTAATATGTGGTGACTTGTTATCCTAATGCTCACTCTTCATCGTGTTATGACTTACATCCTAATTTAGGGCGACAAGTGAGCAGTGAGTGCCAGGGGGAGATGTTAGATTACCGACGCATGTTGATGGAAGACTTCTCTTTGAGCCCTGAGATTATCCTAAGCTGTCGAGGGGAGATTGAACACCATTGTTCTGGATTACATCGAAAAGGGCGAACCCTGCACTGTCTCATGAAAGTAGTTCGCGGGGAGAAGGGGAACCTTGGAATGAACTGCCAGCAGGCGGTAAGGAAAAATTTTCTATTGCCATTTTGAAAGTCGTGTTTTATCAGCTGAAGAGCCTGTTCTTGATTCTGTCCCAACTTCCTTTATCTGCATCCTTTGTGATACCACAGTGAACATTAGGTACTAAGGACCAGAGACAGAATATTGTTTCTTGAGGAATATCTTAGCAGGAATGTGGAATTTGCTGCAGAGCTTAAGTTTGAGCTCATAATCAATAAAAAGAACTATATACTTAAAGAGGTAGAATGCGTTGTTTGCTGGAGTTTCTAAAGGAAAGGTAACTTGCTAGATTGAATTTACTTAACTCAGAATCAAGACGAACCAGGTTCTGATAAATCAGGGAAAGGTCCTCCACCAAAAGAGAATTTGCCTGTCTTAATGGGTCTGATTGAGTTGAGGCTGAAAGAGAGTTGACATGAATTGAAATTTTTTTCTAAGAGTTTCTTTTTATTACTGATGTGCAGCATGTCATGAATTCTTGGCCTGCAGGATCAAGAGAACATATCGTTTTCAAAATCACACCATCTTTTCTTATTAGACTAGGGCAACTGTACATGAAAGGGTCTTTCTTTCTCTCCCCCTAAACTTTATAGTCAATTCTATAAAGTCAGTTGGAAAAAAAATAGCATACTCCACTTGGAAACATAAAGTTCTTCTTGATCTAGGGTTCATAAACAGTTGAATAATAACAGATCAGACACATAATATGAAGTTAACAAAACATAGATACAGCACATCTCTTTCATTACAGTTGACCATGTTTATTATCTTTTACTGGATAAGAATCTTTAAACAATTTAAAGTACCAAGTGCAACATTGGTACCCTATGCAATGAACTTTCCTTTAGAAAGCACAAAAAATAGTTTAGCTTTATATCCTGACTTACAAAGTTGAGGCTCTCCCTTCAGTGAAACTTTAGAAAACCGCAGTTAGTATATTATTGTGTACTTGGCTTTTTTATTAAAAACT